AAATAAAATATAAATGTTAAAATAATTATGTTTGTAAACGTGCACTTTAAAAGTGACACACTTGTGATGATTTTTATTATTCGAGGAAACATCACAATTTTTTGTCTCCCGCATTATGTTAAGAACACGCGACGAATTATCCTTATCGGATGGTTAAGATAAGATAACAGACAATTGCGTGTAAGCTAAATGTGCGCTGGAGAAATATGGATTTGTACCAGCTTGCAGCCGTTTATTTGGAACTGCTGTGCTTTTATCTACCGCGTATATTTTTATCCTCGTCCCATCATTTGGCGGCAGGGAAAATGCAGCGCGTAAACGCAAATCGACAATAGCGCAGTAGTGCATGCGAATGGCAGACGGTGCACTTTGCATCTCCAATGGCCAATTACGTGCTCACGTTGCTTGAAATGCCACCATGCCACATTAAAGCGATATACTCCAGCGAGGAGAGCAAAATTTACGTAATTTATCGTAATTCACTGTCGTTCGTCCGACGAAGAAGGGTGTATCCAAATGTTTCCTTCGATACCGTTAGCATAATATATCGCTATTAATGTTTTCATTTAAGATTACAAGAAAATTCATCGTAAACCGATCGGAAAGACATTAAGATTAGCATTAAGCATTATTACCCAGGGCAAAGGATTTCAATTATTTGGAACTAAGAAATTTAATTTTGTTCATTCGGATTTCTTCGAGAATCTCTCGATGCTTTAATCTTTTAAATCCCTAAAAAGAATTTAATTAAATTGACAAATAAGAGTGATCTGAAAGCGAAAATCTTTTAGTATAGCGTTCTATACGCCAACGCAACGTTCTGAATAACTCGACCGCGGCGGCGATTCCGCGCATTTAACGGCAGCGAACCGTGGGGATGCTGCGAGCGAGAAAATAAAAAGAATTCTTAGAACCCATTCAAGAAGATCCATGCTTCGCAACAGGGAAAACAGGCCGCGCGAGGATGTTGCTAGTTTCTCGGTGCGATGTAGTTATGCTTTATGCGATTTACTTCGTGATGCCGCTCTCTCGCGTTCTCGTTGAGCTTTTCGCAGGATAACGCGCGCCGTACCGTCGCCGCACGCAGAAAGAAAACGCGAATTGCCCCATAAAAGCAGCAGACAGAGGACCTTTGAATAAGTGGATCAGCTCGCGCGCTCGCGTAAAATAAACGTCGGACTCTTCGCGCAATCTGCTTTCCAATTTACGGGACTAATATCTCTGTAAAAAAATTTGACGTCAAAAATTTTTTACAGGAAATTGTAATTTATACTTTGGCAAAAAATTTAGGAAAATTGGATCGCAGCGTGGAGATCACAGAGAGGCCAAATTGGACCGGAAAATCGATTTCATAAGAAGGAAGATACGAGATAAAAATATACAGATCAAATGTGTTTGTTTTCAGACTTTTATGTTTTTCGAGCAAATTCGACTAAAAGTAAAAATAAATAAATTATACATGTGCATATGTTGTAAAAAAATTCTTTTTTACGTGAGTTCTGTATATTCTCATGACGAAACAAAGTTTTGTTTATTCTACATTTTATCCGACCATTTTATAAAGCTTGTATAATACAAATCTATATGTACCATATATAAAATTAATATTCTTCTAAAATAAAGATATACAAGTCTCATACCTGTGAAGATGGCGATGATCCGTTGCGAGTCAGCGAAAATCAGAGACACATCATAGAAAGGGTTGTAACACGAAAAAGTGTTTTATTTATATACAATATTTACAAAGGCGTAGTGAATCAAGTGGCTATATAAATGACTTTGGTACGCTTGAACGCGTGCAAAACGTGGCGCAAGCGTGTGGCTTCTCCTCCTTCATCTCCCTGCTCCCAGTCTGCATCAGCCATGGTCCAGGGGCCTCCTATACCCTGTTGAACGATAGTCGACGACCCGGAAGTTAGGCGATGCAGCAGACGTTTGGATCTTCCCATCCATCCGTCTAGACTGTCGGCCGCCCACTTCTCTTAATGTCCCAGCCGACGTTTGACCCTTAAATGCAGCTCTCCTGAATGCTCCTGCTGATCGACTCCGAGTGCGGCCTTTGGAGACTGTAGAATGTCTAAATGGACCGAGACGAAAATAAAGTGAGAAACCCGAAAGAATCAAACGACTTTGAGGGAGGACCTGATTGACCGTAGAAAATAAAATCATCGCTAAAGTTAAAGTGAAATTTTCGCTGAGCGAAAAGTTCGAGATTTGCGCAATTGTCTTATAATTTACAGTAAAATTATCCCCGTTTGTTATTCATTATTTTGCCATTCATTATTTTGCTTGTTGTTAATAAAGCAACTGTTATAGAAATTTTTAAATTGTATCGAGAAAAGATATAGTGGTTCCATATACCACGATACTGTCCTCATCCAATATATTATTGTTGGGTTAAATCGAATTTGAAAGATATTTGTCTAGGGTTTAAAGTTGAAAGATCTGTTTTAGTAGAGATATATGGTAACACTTAGAAAAATATAGAAGCTACGAACAGGAATTGAATTCGATCCATCCGCGGGAAACTTCTCTTATTCATCGGACTAGCATAGAATTTTTATAGAGTGCTCTCTCTCTCTCTCTCTCTCTCTCTCTCATGGTGTATTTTTATAATATTAGAATATGCATGTACCTCACCAGAGATGGATTCCACGAATTTTCGACGCATCGACGGAAAGCCGAAATTTAAAAATACATTTCCAAGTAAATAAACTTTATTGTAACCGCATGTAGCATGCGGATGTGCAACTTGGAGTCCCCAAAAATAAATTGTGCGATATCTTCATATATCAAGATTCCTATTTTTTTCTTCATAACATAGAATTTACAGAAAGATTTAGAAATCGAAATTGTAAAATAAAATGTTTGTAAAAGAAAAATATTTTACGATGTATAATATTGTAATGTATCGAATGAAGAGAATAGCGACAAATGTGGATCTTCGGGATATCTTCAGATTTCGATTATTATGCTCATCCGTTATCCAGAATAACTGTGTCAGGCGCAACGGAATGGTTCTCGTTCGCTAAATCTGGCTCACAAGAAAACGGCGATAAGCGGAATCGTAAAGCAGACTGGATCGAATTCGAAAGTGGTTTTCTGTGTTAGGAGCTATCAGAGAACCATACAGATATACGCGTTCATCGTAGATCGCCTAAGATCAGAGGTTCCCAAATTCCGCGGCATCATGCTTTCTTTAAATATTTTAAACATCTGACGCTTTGTTCTATCGTTTTTTCTTGAAAATGTTACAATAGACACTTGAATTCAGCACGGACACGTAAAAATCCCCAACTTTTTACTTCATAAGAGATGATTTTTTTAGATATATTCCAAAATTAATTTAACCCCATACCCCAAAACTTTTTCAGAATTTTTCTCGACCAAATTTAT